AGAAAAAAGGTAGTGTAATAGAATTCTATATTAATATTACTTTACCGCCTTTCTACCATGCTACGCTTGAAGTTTAATAAAGACAAATGGCAAAAGACCGCCTTGGCTTAACCACGAGATCTTGCATGATCTAAAAATAAAAAGGAGTCATATAAAAAATGGAAAGTAGGACAAATTACAAAGGATAAATACAGGCAAACAACACAGGAATGCAGGGCAAGATCAGAAAGGCAAAGGCACAAAATGAGCTTAAACTAGCTACGGGAATAAAGGAAAACAAGGGGTATGTCTACACTACCCCGCTAGTTCGAACTAGCGGGGTAGTGTAGACATACCCTAGGAGAGGACCTGAATGGTCTTGTGCATTGTAAATAGAAAGAACGTGCCCTGCACATATCAAGTGTGTGCATATTTGATTTAAGCGAGTTACCGTAGGGTTTGGGGAAGAAGGTAGGGAGGTGTAGTCTGATTCAGGTGAAAGAATGATAGTACTTTGGGTAAAAACTTGGGGTGGGTCCGTAAAGTCACCTTGTCTTTGGAAAAAGAGATGTAAGGGGGATCTGCCATAAGTGCTGCCATTTCCCCTACTTGTCTGGCCCATGTAATGGCTACAAGAAAGCCTGTTTTGTTTTCATAGAAAGATGCAAAAGGGAGCAGGTGGCCACTGGCTCTGTGATGGATAGGAAGAGTACTGGCCAGCACCCGTTGACTAATGGGTTAAAATTAGGTAGCTAGCAAGGGTGTTGGCACGGATACGGTAATGAAATTTAAATTGGATATAGATACCCAGTCTGTTCTTCCTTTGTGGGGATTTCTAAGAAAAAGGCTGGTGAGAGCAGATGCAGGGATCAGAATTACCATGCCTATAAGAAATATTGGACATGGGAATGAACTGGACCTTGAAGTACAGATAAGCATGTATCATGAGTAGAAGGAAAAGAGTATCTAGTCACAATCGGGGTATTTTTCTTTATTTAGGTTGTTTAGTTTAAACTCCTCTTTGTGAATCCATGCCTCCCCCATTCACTATCTGAAAGATGTTCCCAGAGATTTTCTGTGTTTTAATTAGTTTTATTTAATTGCTCTGTACACCTATCAACCAAGTATGCTTTATCAAGTATATTTTTTGTTTGTTAATAAAAATCACTTTTTTTAAGGTGATGATTTGATTCTTGTGTCCTGGAAAGTAACAGGGAGTCTCTGTGTGTATTTGCTTGCGTAAGACTGGGCACTCAGCCACCAGAGACTGCAGCTTGTTTTTCTCTTTTCTTTTTTCAAACTCTTTTGGGGCAAAAGAGCTTTGGGTACCCCTAGAGAAGGAATTCAAGTTGTTCCCTCCTGTTTTTTAGGGTGAAATCACTTGATGGTGGCAGCTTTTTGGGTTTTCTTTTCTCAGAGCCACTGCATCTGTGACTCTGGGGAGTTTTTATTTGTAAGCAGAGCCTATAGAGGCAACATATTTAAGGTCTTTGCAGGCCTCCACCTTTGGTGCTCCGAGTGCCAGAGTGAAGAATAGCCCTGACAGGCTCAAATAGGGTTTTGGTGAGAGTATTTAAAACTAAGTAAAGGTCTCAAGCTTGCACTGGTGGAACCACATATGGATAAAGTGCCTGGAGGCCTTTGATGAACCTCTTACTAAGAGAATGTGCAAATATAGAGGTAACATCTATTTTAAGATGAAAAGTCATTATAGAGCAAGGTGTACCTTGATGGAACTCAGTGCAGGACCAGCTTGTTTAAGGTTCAACAAACAGTCCAAAATTAAAGGAAATGGAGATGTGGATGGGTTAGCCTGTCAATGTGAGCTCCATATTGAGAATGTTTTCCACTTCTGAAGGTATGCTTTATGAGTGCTCTGCACTTTACTGTGCAGCAGGACACGCTGGACCTGCTGCGAGCACCCTAGCTTCTGTGTGGAAAACTACTGAGGAGCCATGCATGTGGCGATTTGGAAGATAGGTCCGACTTCCGGGCTGAAAGAAGAGATCCAGGTTGCAGGGCAGGGGAATTGGTGATATGTGCACATTTTGAGCAGAAAGGGGAACCAGGGTTGCCATGGCAAAAAGGTGCTATCATAATTAAGTGTGCTTTGTCCCTTTGTGCCTCGATAACAACCCTGTTGCTGAGAGGTGGGGGGGGGGGGAAGGCATATAGATCAGGAAGGCATCTCCCAGGGAACCCTTCCCTATGCCACCTCTGGAACAAAAGCAAAGACTTTTTGTTGTTCTGGGTGGCAAAAAGGTCTATGGTGGGATGACCCCACTGTTGGAAGACCCACGAAAGGATATCTGGGCAGCGCCCTGCTTAGAGCATTGATCATGGTATTGAGGTTGCCCGGAAGGTGTACAGTAGTGATAGTTACACCATGTTTTAGGCACTGATTCCAAAGTGCAATTGCTTCTGTACATAGGGTATGTGATCAAGCTCCACCCTGACGGTTTCCTTAAAACACTGCAGCAACTTTGTCTACATATAGCCTCTCATGATTGTTGTTGATTATAGGAAGGAGTATCTCACACACATATCTTACTGCTCGCAATTCTAGCACATTTATGTGGACATCGCTGCCTATTCTGGACCACAGCTCCTGAGCTGTGTGATGCTGCAGGGCTCCCATGAGGGAGCATCCATCATCATGGAAACAGACGGTTCTTCAGTAAGGAATGGAACACCGGAACACAGATTTTTTTGTATCAATCATGAGAAAAGAGTCCGCTTTATTGAAGATGGGATGATAAGGGACTTGGATAATGGGTGAATATTGGGCTTGTAAGATTGTCCTGAGCCTCCCCTGCAGGCACCTCATATGTATGCAAGCATTTTTTACCATAAAGTTGCAAGCTGCCATATGGCCCAGGAGCTGGAAACAGTCATGGGACATCATTTTGGGAGAGGACTGCAACTTCCTGACCAATGGCACTATCTTGTGAAAACGCTGTGTAGGAAGGGAAGCGAGTGCACATGGGGAATCAAGGTAAGTGCCTATGAACTGAATCTTTTGAATAGGGATCAAATTTGATCTGTTTTCATTTATCTGCAGCCATAGATATTAGAAGACGTGTCTTGTGATCAAGAGGAAGCATCGAGCACCAGTTTTGGAGCGCGCTTTGAGGAGACAGTCGTCAAGGTAAGGAACTATGATAACAGTTTGTTTCTGCAGGTACAGTGTAACAACTGAAATCACCTTTGAAAAAATTATTGGAGCTGTAGAAAGGCCAAATGGTAGGACCTTGTACTGATAATGTTGAGTACTTAAAACAAATCGAAGAAATCATCTATGAACAGGATGAATGGAAATATGCATCTTGCAAGTCGAGGGATGAAAACCAGCCACCTCTTTCCAACACTGGTATGATGGTGGCAAGTGTTACCATCTTAAGCTTTTGCTTTTTAACAAATTTGTTCAGTGCTCGTAAATCAAGAATGGGTCACCATTCTCCCAACTTATTCTCCATGAGGAAGTTATGGGATTAAAAACCTTTCCCACTATACTGAGCGGGGAGAAACTCAATTGCCCCTTATTGTAACAGATGGTCAACCTCCTGTTGGAGAAGATCCTCATGAGAGTGGTCCCTGAAGAGGGACTGGATAAGGGAATGGGAAGGAGGTGCTGACAAGAAGGTAATCATATATCCAACCTTGATTATCTGGAGAACTCGCTTATCAGATGTTATCCTTCTCTAGTTGTTAAAAAATGGTAGAAGATGGTGCTAGAACAGTTTAGATGTCACAGATGGCATTGGAATGGGTGAAAGGTTTTCATGACCCTTGATATATGTCTCAAATTTGCTTAGTGGATTGTTGTGACTGTAGTGAATTATTAGAAGACTGATGTTGGCCCCTGCCTCTAGAATGGCTCTGTTGAAGTTGATCCAGCCTGTTGTATTGTTGAGTATAGTAAGAATATCTTGGTCTAGGGTATGGTTGACACCTGTATTGTTTTCTTCTTGTATTTGCAGGATTATGAATGCCAAGAGACCAGAGGGAGGCTTTTATGGAATGTTGCACTTCATTGGTGTTAGCTGTGGATAGCTTTTGCCTGTAGAATGGAAGGTCCTCTACAGTGGACTGGATTTCTCTGCAGAAGACTCCAGAGTTGAACCACAAGGCTTTTCTCATGACAACAGCTGTTGCCAGAGAACGAGCTGCTTTATCGGCTGTATCTAACACAGTGGCCTGAAGGGCCATTCTTGAGATTGCATGATCCTCTGTGACCCTAGCTTTAAATTGCTGCTTCTTGGCCTCCGGAATATCTGAAATAAAATCATTTAATTTTATGTAATTCCTGTAGTCATATTTGCTAAGTAGTGCTGCATAATTTGCAACTTGGAATTGTAGTGTGTAATTTTTTTGATTACCTGTTGTGTTCCCTCCCTCTGGGGCATCTCGTATTGGCTACTGTTGACAGACAGGATACAAGACTAAATGGATGTCTGATCTTAGCCAGTATGGCCGTTCTTATGTTTTGACAGAACAGATCAAGTCTTTTGCTGCCACATCAAATGGGGGTCGATCTAAAGTGATGCTGCTTACTCTTTTAGTGGGCTGCTTCCACTACCAGGGAGTTAGGTGCTGAGTAGGTAAAAAGAAACTCTGACCCTTTTGGGGGAAACATAATATTTTTTATCAGCCCATTTACATGTTGGGGTGGCTGTTGCTATGGTTTCCCAAATTGTCTGTGGGTTCCATGATGGCTGGGTTAATTGATAGACCAGTGGTCCCCAACCTTTTGGGGCTGCTGCTCGCCCAGGGGTGGGGCTGCTCACGCGCTGCGTGCCTGGGAGTAGGGGTCGCCCATGCTCCAGGTGCTTGGGGCTGGCACCATGCTTGTGCCACGCGCCCAGGGGCGGGACCGGCCCAGATTGTTTGGCGGGCACACACCAATGGTCTGGCGGGCGCCGTGGCACCTGTGGGCACCGCACTGGGGACAACTGTGATAGACCTATCTTGGAAGTCGTGTGAGTTAATAAAATGTCTGTCAATTCATGTTAGTTTGTGGACACTTCCTGGATGGAAATATTGAATTTAGCCCATAGACGTTTTAAAAGGTCCTAAAAATGTGAGAAATCGTCTGCTGTAGTTGGTGGAGAAGGCAACACTGCTTCAATCGGGAAGGATGATTCATTGGTGTCAGGTGAGGTATCCGATGATGGGTCAGACTGGTCCCCTTGTACAGTACATTATCATTGAGGGGATGGAGATTGTGGTAGTAGAGATTGTTGTGGTACAGTATGACATTTACAGGATTAATAGTGTTTATGATGAGACTGCCATGGGCTCCAATACTACCACTGCAGTTAAGGCATGCGTGGTGGCATCCCTGGGTTACTGTACCAAGCTGCCATATTTCGGTGTCTGGAGTGTGCAGGATGAGTCCTAGCCAAATAGACAGAGTAATCAGTGGGTGGTGAGTTTTTGGGAGAAAACATGACATATATTTCCTGGTCAGAGTCACTAGAAAACCACTCTGGCAATATATCTGGTCTTGGTGCCAGAGTACCAGGAGAAATGCCAGTGCCAAGAAAAGACAAATTGAAATACTGGAATAAATTGCCCAGGGAGGTTGTGGAATCCCCATCTCTGGAGATATTTAAGAGTAGGTTAGATAAATGTCTATCAGGGCTGGTCTAGACAGTATTTGGTGCTGCCATGGGGGCAGAGGACTGGACTCGATGACCTCTTGAGGTCCCTTCCAGTCCTAGTATTCTATGATTCTATGAAAGTTGAGGAGACCAGGAGGTCTCTGTGTTGTGTATACTGCTACGATGGCGTCGACAGTGCTGTAGATGGCTGCACCAATGCCACTTGTAGTGCCATATGATGTCTTGGCACCGAGTGGCCAGGCAATACAGTCAGTGCCATGGTGGTGCTGGAAGTTGTGCTTGGCACTGGAGTCCGCTGCAGTGCCAGTAAAGTAGTGTTGGTGCTAGTAGGTGCCAGCAAAGTAACATCAGTGCTGTGATGTTTGAAGCAAGCAATGTGAAGCCTGAGGCCTCAGAGTGGGATTTTGCAGGACCCGCTTTCATGGCAATGCTGACAGAGTTGTCGTAAGTACGTAGATGTGGCGCTGGAGTTGTTCTCTGCACCATATTTCTTGGATATCAGCATTCAGATGCTGGGGCCCTCTGAGGTAGCAAGGAGGTGCAGGGGTTTTTTGAGGATTTTTTCTCCTTTTGCACCCAAGGTGTATCTGGCTACATGTTATCTTACTGTAGATTGCAATGTAAATTTCTTGGGGCAGGGACACTGATCCAGATCCTCTGGTGGTATAACTCCATTCAGCTACACTGAATTCCACAAAATCAATTTAAAGCAGCTGAGAATTTGATCCAATATCTTGTATTGTTTGTAAAGCAACATGTACGTTTACTCTCTATTGTGAAAGACTTATATTTTCTAGCATGTATTCTAGGTGAAATAACTAGGCCTGTCAAGCGATTAAATAAATTAATTGCAATTAATCATGTGATTAAAAATTTAATCACGATTAATTGTGTGTGCTGTCCCTTTGAAATGCTGCAGTGGTATTTCAAAGGGGCAGCGCTGCGGAAGCCCAGGATCAGCTGGAGTCCTCAGCTGAACCCAGGCTCAGTGCAGCTGCCTCTCTGAAACGCAGCAGTGGTGTTTCAAAGGGACAGCACCACAGGAGCTTGGGATCAGCTGGAGTCCCCAGCTGACCCCGGAATTTCCAAGGACCAGTACCACAGGAGCCACAGCTGACCCTGGGCTCCATGTAGCACTGCCCCTTTGAAGAGCCAGAGCAGCACCTCAAAGGGGCAGCGGAACACGGAGCTGGGTATCACACAGAGTGCCCAGCTGATCCCCAGCTCTGCGTTGCACTGCCCTTTTGAAGTGCCACTCAGGCACATCAAAGGGGCTCCACGTTGCTGCCCCTTTGAAGTGCCGCTCCAGTGCCTCAAAGGGGCAGCACAACGTGGAGCCGGGGATCAGCTGGAGTGCCCAGCTGATCCCCAGCTCTGCGTTGCACTGCCCTTTTGAAATGCCGCTCCGGCACTTCAAAGGGGCAGTGCTGCATGGAGCCCGGGGTCAGCTGGGGACCCCAGCTGATCCCAGGCTCCTAATGTGCTGCCCCTTTGAAGCGCCGAAGCAGCACTTTAAAGAGGCAGCGCAGCATTAATGCCTGCAATTAACATGTTAATTTTTTTAACGCATTAATCCTGCCCTGCATTAATCACAGGGGTTAACACAGATAAATTTACAGCCCTAGAAATAACAGAATTATAAAAACACCCAAAGAAGCTGTATTTGGGGTACATTAAAAGCCAGATGCAGACCAAGGATTGTGATGGATTCTCCATCACTGACAAATTTTTAATTTAGATTGGATATTTTTCTAAAAGATTTGCTTTAGGAATTACTTTGGGGAAGTTCTTTAGCCTGTGTTATACAGAAGGTCAAAATAGATGATTGCAATGGTCTCTTCTGGCCTTGGGAATCTTAGGGTGCATCTGTATTGCACCATTATTTCAAGATAACTAGTGTTATTTCAAAATAATGTCAGCATCTCCACAACCATTCCATTATTTCCAAATAATTTTGAAATAATGATGTCTTATTCCATAATCTGTAAGCCTCATTCTAGAAGGAATAATGCCTATTCTGAAATAGCTGTTTCGAAATAAGGCATGTGTAAATGCTCCATTGCTGTTATTTCAAAATATCCCCTCATCAGGGCCATTCTAAGTTATTCCTCCCCAGTTTCTCCTGGGGCTCTAAATCGAGATAGCACATCTACATTAGGGAAGTCTGCCTTGGACTAATGTTGAGGTTTCCCTGCAGTGTAGATGTGCTATTTGGAATAACTATTCGGGAATAGCTTATTTCGAAATAAGCATGCAGTGTGGACATACCCTTAGTCTGTGTATGTATAGGGCCAGTTAACAAAATAGCACCATACCTGTTCGGTAAGTGTTAAACTGCATCGCCCCATTTCCAGATCAATTGCAGCAGCCAACAGCAAGCATGTCTTCTGGGCAATCAAAACAGCCTTATCAGAAGGACAAAACTGGGACAACTAAAACAGAAATATGAATGAATAGCAAGAATACTGTCAGGTCAGCAAACAACAAAGAAAGGAACATTTTCTACTGCAGTGAGGGAAAAGAGCAGTTTACTTATAGTTTTCATTTTTCCTTTATCTCCCACTCTTGTGACACTTTTCAGAGGCTCAAGTACCATTTCCTTCCTTCCTACTGATCTTTTTCCACCTAGAGGGCAAGGATTAGCACACTTTTGTTGAAGCTGACCTTTTTGAGACCATTTTGTCTTGGGTTTATACAACAGCAGCAGTAATGACAGCATAATTAGGTAACAAGTACTAAAAGGACACTAGGCAGCAGAGGATAGGTCTTATACTGGACCAACCTCTGCTGGTCGGAGAGACAAGATTTCATACTTTCCAGAAGTTCTTCAAGTTCATTAAGCTTAAAAGCTTGCTTCTCTTACCAATGGAAGTCAGTTAAAGATATTTCTTCATCCACCTTGTCTCTCTAGTATCCTGGAACCACCATGGCTACAGCACCACCACACACATTAATAAAGGGACACTCTCAATCATGCTTTTATATTTTTCCTGTATTGCTAGTGCTCAAAAAGCTCAAAATCACTTTCTGCTTTTCTTATGGGCAAATATTGTTTGTTCCAATGTTCTGTACGTAACTGAAATTAACAAAGACATTTCTTCTTTAGATGGGCATTGTACAACCTCCAAATATGCCTTCCCATTCCAAAAATGGCAACACTTACTTTAAATGGGTCTCTAGTATGCAAACAAGGACTCTATGTGCAGATCTGTCAAGTCTCACTATCTACAGGAGTAACTCCCTGATTTCAAATTTATTTTAAGGCAGATTTTAAAGTCTTTAGGATATATTCTAATTGTTGCAACAGTGAAACACTGGAATAACTCTACTGATTTCAATAAAATCACACCAGATTTACAAGTGTACATAAGATTAAACCAAACTCTCTCTCTCTTGTGTTGACGGATATTTATTCAATCTCTTTTTAAGACACTTAGTCCCCACAATACCTTAGACAGCATATATACTTCTGAGAAGATCGATGCTGCAGAGGTCAATCCTCTGGTATTTGATTTAATGGGTATTGTATAGACCCGTAAATTGAACACTGAGGGCAGCCCTGGTACTCCTCCTGTAATGAGTAACGGAAGCCAACCAGAGTGTTTGCTCTCATTGTCTCCCATTGTGTGGACATCGCCACTGCTTGGTTTAAGGTAAACCAATCCTAGATATGCATTTTGCATTCATCCCAGCAGGGGCTGGACATTACACCAACTATGGGAATTCATACCATTTCAAACCCGCACCAAATAGCAGCTCTTTATTATTTAAATTATTCAGTGAAGTAAAAAATCTGTGGAAATATCCATTCCCTCATCTATTCTGGGAATAGATGAGCCTAAATTACTAGTTTGTTTTTTTTTCATTGACAACTTTTCCTAGCTTTACAGGCAGAACAAAACAGATAATGCTGCACTTGCTCTGAAATCAGGATTGACAGATGGTTGTGCTGTTTTGAAGATTAAGCAGTATTCTAGAACCCTACTTTTAATTTCAGACTCGGGTGACTAGTATTCAGGTAGCTGTTTGGGATGAACTTGCCCAGTATAGAATCCAATTCTATAGAAACTAGCTGTGTACAGACAGACTTTATGTAATTATAATACAGCACATTTCTGGTATACTTTATACATAACGGCTGTATCTACATTGGCACCCTTTTCCAGAAAAGGGATGCTAATGAGGCCAGTCGGAATTGCAAAGTCCAGAATGAAGACAACACAGCATTTCCATCAGCAGCATACTATCTAGAAGATGAAATCCCTGCATAATGCTTGAAGAAGGTGTGAATGTAAGACCAATTAACATTAAAAATGTCCAGAATAAGGGACATTCGTGAGTAATATCATAGAAGTAGATAATAATCTTGTGGAATAGGCCAACACCCTCGGAGGAAGCTGTATATCTGTGTTATAAATCTTCAATATGATACAGTAAGAGATCCACCTACAGTCTCTGGGTGGAAATCACCAAACCTTTGATCTATCTGCAATAGCCAGTCTGGGGCACATCTAAACTACAAAGATTTTTCAAAAGAGAATATGCAAATTCCATGGAATTTGCATATCTTCTTCTGATTGCATTTTCAAAAGAGGATCTTTCAAAATGGAAGTAGTCTGGATGCATTTTTTTCGGGAAAAAACCCAGTTTTGAAAAAAAACACAAACCTTTTTTTAGGTAGAGTGGGGTTTTTTTGAAAAAGGGTTTTAAAAGAAAACAAAAACGCGTCCATGGGAATTTGCATATCCTCTTTCGAAAAATCTTTGTAGTTTAGACATAGCCTAGGTAATTTCCTAAATGATTTAGTGTTGTCTACATAAAAGACCATCACATTCCAATCTTCAAAGTATGCAAAATTGCCTCCTCTCTCAATTGGTGAGGCTTGGGAAAGAAACAGAAGGTGGATAAACCGGTTGATACAAAAATTATATGACACACTGAGTAAAAATTTAGGGTGTGGACATAATGAAACTTTATCCTTGGAAAATGCAATCAGTGGAGAATCTACCGTAGAAAACCTGTTTTATTCACCATAAAAGCTGAGGGAAAAACAAACAAAAATGTCGTCTTGTGAGTTAAACTAATGAAGAAAAAAGTAGCCATTGGCTCAAGGGAAGACTTTATATGACATTTAAGTGCTAAATTCAAATCCCAGATAGCTGTGGGTTCCTTACCTTGCTGATAAATGTTCCCTAATCATCTCAAAAACCTTACAGTTGTAAGATGGAAAAAGAATGAGAATCCTTCAGCAAATGAATGAAACCCTCTGTATAACTGCTACTATAGACACTGATTGAACGGTAGTGCCAGATGTATACAAAGAGACATGTAGCAATGTTCTAGCTAACAGACGCTTATCAATAATAACCTGAAATGGGTCATGCTCATCACCTGACAAATGCTCAATTGGTGATGAATTTGAAATAATCTGAATGATTTATTTAGGCATAAAACTTAATAGTTCACACATCTAAATCAAAGAGTCATGGATGAGTTAGTGTGGTCTTTATCATATAGTGTGGCCTTTAAAGTGTTATCTAGCACATTTGTTGACTGTTGCATAACGAGGGATGTAAGAGAGTAGTCAATTAGTCGACTACCTGATAAGCTTAAGTTTATCAGGTAGTCGAGCTGACTACTCACATTCTCCCCCTCTTGCTGCCTCTATATCAGAAGCAGCGGGGGGCTGGGGAGAAAGCAGGAGTCAGTTCCGGGGAGGGGGACTTAAAAGCCAGTTCCCCCGAGCCCTGTCTCTGCTCCCCCCCCCCCAACTGGTGCCTCTGTCAAAGGCAGCAAGAGGAGGGAAGCAGGGGATGGTCTTTCCCACGCCACCCCACCCCAGCAGCCCAAGCCCCACCCACTCTGAGAGCCACCAGACAGCCAACACAGGATACAGGACCCACCAAAGGTAGGGCAGTGGGGTGGATTCTGGAGTGGCCTAGAGTATAGGGCATTCACCTGGAGAACACAGGGTGGTGGGTTCAAGTTCTGGGAGCAACTGGACAGCCAACACAGACTGCCCCAGGCACCTCCATTAGGAAAGCAGGATAAGGGACCCCCTGAAGGCACAGGGGGGCATGAGTGTCTGCACTCTCCTACCCCCCGCCATTGGTACCTCCATTAAAGGCAGCAAAAGGAAAGGAGCAGGGGACACACACCCCCACAGACAGCAACTGCTACTGTCTGGCAAGCAGCCCTGCTCAGTCCTGGTTTATGCTGGGACCAAACCCGGCTGTGGCTCTGCAATTTAAAACACGGTAGGAGGCAAGGGACAGACTGCCCAGCTCTTATTGCCTTTTAAATTGCAGAGCCGCAGCAGGGTTTGGTCTCAGCCCAAGACAGGACTACGCAGGGCTGCTTCCCCTACTCAATTACTACAATAATCCAAATTTAACATCCCTGTGCATAATCAGGGAATTCAATATTAGATGGGTGAAGAGAAATTCACAATCTTTTCTTGGGACATAATATTTCTTATTGGCCCATTTACATATCAGCAGAATTGTCACAGGGGTTCGCCAGAGAGATCAGAGAGGCTAGCAGCATGAGAATTACAGAGGATGTGTCATCCAAGGATCCCAAAATGGACACTGGAGAGGTTCAATAGGTATTGTTGATGGCATCAACTTATGCTTGAATTGGGTCAGGGGTACAAAGGCCTGTCTTTGGTGCAAGTACCGTGTCTTCTCAAAAGTGTCAGAATAGAAATCCCTTGTCTAAAGTGTCGGGGATCAAAATGTTTAAATTGGAGGAAAATTCCTTCTATTCAAGAATGTTCCAGCATACTCTGAAAGTGAGAATCAAGTGGGACTGGGCAAATGTCCCACACTGGTGACTGGGCTTGGATCAGTACAAATAATCTCTGTACCAACTGACAAGAGAAAATTCTAGTTCCTCCAAAACAAATAGATCTCACAAAAATCTAAACTCCTGAGGTACTATGTGGGTTTGGTGTGTGGAAACCTATTCTATTGTCAGTACCGAGGGTATGTGCTCCTCTGGCACGTCTAATCCTGTCAATATGGACAGTACTAATGAAAATGCCAAGACCATGAGTGGCATGGCATGTCATCTTACTAGCATCTCAGTAATCAACTTAAATGTAGACAGTACTGAAGGACTTGTGGTTACCATTCTCTTAGAGGTGAAATGCATTGATAAGTCAATGTCCTGCTCGTTCAGCACCAAAACTACCAACGCATTTACTGCCCCTCTTCTCAGCTGAGTCTGGAAGGCACAAGTTCCATAGCAAGAGTGTCTGGAGCCATAGCCAGGATGGGACATGAGGTGTCCGCAGCAGTCTTGCTCTGCAGGGGCCAAGGCCTTTTTTGAGGTGTACTCCTTCTGTGGAGAATGACTCTGTTTTCTATCAGTCTTCTCTGTGAATTTATCTAGGGTAGACCCAGATGAACATGGCACTGTCTCCACTCAGCAGCTCACAGCAGGGTAAAGGAGGCTCCGTGTCTAGATTGGATGGTTGGTGAAGGGAATGATCCATCATTAAGAGTCTCACTTTTAGCTCTTGATTTTTTTTCTTGCTCCTGCTCTTAAAAACAGTGTAGATGGAATACTTTTGGAGGATATGAGACTCTCCCACACAGGAGATGCCACAGGAATGCTCATTGCTGACAAGAATGGCCTCATGGCAAGAAAGGCACCACTTGATACCTTGAGAGTTTGGCATATCCCAGAACAATAGTATGTAACATGGAAATGTCCCTCTCCCAGAAGGGGAAAGGAATCAAGAGAAAGTCACCTACACCCCTAAACAAAAAATAAATGAAATAACTAAAGATAAACAATAAGCTAAAGAAAGGTAGCTAGGCTAGGAAACTTCAAAAGTCAGTTGCAAAAGTTATTGCTCCATCTCAGGCAGAGATGACTGAGAAGAAATCAAGAGTGGTTCATCCAAGCAACTCTATATAAGCCTCAGAACAGGGCCCAAGTAAGCACAGGGTGCATGTGTGCCCAAACAAGCACCATCACCAAAAATCTCATCCACAAAGACACTACTTGAAGTACTGATTATTAAAAGTTTATTTAGTGAGGTATAATGAGTATGCAATTGATAAGTACATGAACAGGCTACTGAATGGAGGATGGCTGAACCTTAACAATTAGATTATTAGTAATTAGTCAGGTGTAGATAATGTGTGTTAATTAAACTGAAGGATTATTTACAACCTCAGAGGTCTAACAACTTTGGGGTTCCCTCTCACTTAACATGGATATAGAACATAATGTTAATGGGAGATATGCATGCAAAGGAGATGGAGAAAAGTAGTCTATGTAATAGACATGCATCAGTGGCACAGAAGCCAAATTTCAGTAATCACCTAGCGTTTGAAATGTCCTTTTAATTTAAATAATTTGAATTCCATTTTTAAATCACATAATGTAAAACATGACTATAATTCTGAAATCTGAGACAGATTTTCCTCTTCATGACCAAAGCATTTAACACCAACAGTGCCAAAGTAAAGCTCTCTAGAGAAACATTTGATAAATTTGTTTGGAGCTTGTAGCAAAACCAGCTTCACAACATCATCTGTCACATCACAGACAATTCTAGCTAGAGCACATACCTTGAATGATAGTACAAAGAAATCTCTCATTGTTCCAGGGCAGTTCTCAAACTGTACAGCCAAGTTCCAAGCTAATAAAATCAATAAGATAGGAGACCAGAATAAAAATTGTTTGCTGGTATAGTCTGTTCCTATAAAATCTTTGTAACAAGCATTTCAGGAGGAGTATTAAATTTTAAACAAGAAGCTCATTCAATAACAGCAGGAAATACTGTCAATAGTTGCAATTAATATAAATTATTCATTATTTTAAATCTATTTCAATAACTAATCATTCTGCCATTAAATCAATTCACACCAAGTTGAATGAGGATGATCCAAATTCTGAACCAAATGACTCCAGTATGGAATCAGAATAGTTCCTTTAACTTTAATTGATTTTCTCTAGATTTAGATGGAATCTGGCTGAAAGTATACAATGTCATCCCCAGAGCCACAAAAGGCAATAATTGCTGACTGCTTTGCATATAGTTTCTATCCTGACAAGTACATTCAGAAAAGAATTAGGCAAATCAGTAATCTATCCCTTAGATAGTTGTCATTCTCAAAGATGAACGGAAGCCTGTGTACCCAGCTTCACCCCCCCACAACCCAACCCCTTGCCCTGACTTCTGCACCCTCAGCATCCCCAAGGCCTGCCCTGAGCTCCCCACACCTACAGCCACCTGCCCTGACCAGAACCCTGCCACGCCAACCTACACTTAAATTTCTTACAGGTATTGTCCTATCATAACCCTATACCCTAAACTCCCCAGGGGGTGGTGGGAAGGAGTTTGCAATACCACAAGACCTATAAGAAATTAAAGTTACTTTCACCTTAGATTCCCATTACTGAATAATCCAGGTATGTAACTGGCCCTATCAGGTGCTCAGATCCTACAGCGATTTGCATATTACAACCTGCACATAACCCTCTTCCCTAGGCTATGCTTTCCCTAAACAAGAAGAGATAGTTACCTGTTCCATAGCTGATATTCTTCGAGATGTATTGCTCATGTCCATTCAGCATAGGGGTGTGCACCTGCCACATGCACCAGTGCCAGACGTTTTTTCCTAAGAAGTACCCGTAGGGGCTGGGGTCCACAGTGCCCCCTGGAGTGGTGTGCATATGCAATGCTATATAGGACACTCCCTGGCCCCTTCCGCCTCAGTTCCTACTTGCCATAACTCTGACAGAGGGGAGAAGGGTGGGAAATTGAATGGACATGAGCAATGACATCTTGAAGAACACCAATTACAGAAAAGGTAACTATCCTTTCTTCTTCGAGTGCTTGCTCATGTCCATTCAACATAGATGAATATCTGCAGAAGTGGATAAGAGTTAAGGACATATAGACTGCAGTATAGCTCTGCCAAATGCAGTGTCTTCCTTAGCTTGCTGCATGATGGCATAGTGGGACGTGAAAGTGTGCTCGACAGATATTCTAGATTGGAACATGTGTCAGCTAGGCATGCAACAAAGCTTGATCAGGATCAGCTCTACCAGAGCTCAACACTAGCGGCTGGGCCCTGCCAACTTGTAGCACATACAGATACAGGAGGTGATCCACTTTGAGAGCCACTGGGAGGATATTGGGGAACCCTGCCCCTGCTCCGCATAGGCCACAAAGAATTGAGTGGACTTGCAGAAGGGCCTCGTCCTTTCTAAGTAGAATGCCAATGCTCTCAGAACATCCAGTGTCCTCTCCTCGCTAGTCGTGTGAAGCTTGGGATAAAAGACTGGCAGAAAAATTTCCTGGTCCAAGTGAAAGGCCGAGACCACTTTGGGAATGAAGGCTGGATGAGGCCACAGCTGGACCTTGTCCTTGAAGAACCAGGTGTACCAAGGTACTGATGTCACAGCTCAGAGCTCGGACATGCTTCTAGGTGACATAATCACAACTAAGATGACGACCTTGAAAGAAAAAAACAAAAAGGGGCATGTGGCGAAGGGTTCAAACAGCGGTCCCATGACCTGTACCAAGACCAGCCTCAAATCCCACTGTGGTAGAAGATCTCAAGTCAGAGTAGAGCCATTCCAGACCCTTCATGAACCACGATGTGATGTCGTGCAAGAAGACAACACACCCTAATAGGGGCAGATGAAATGCAGAAATGGGAGCTAGGTGAACTCTAACTGTGGCTAGGACCAGCCCCTGATGTTTCAGGTGGAACAGGTAGTCCAGGATCTCTGAAGGGAAGCTTTGGACAGGGCGACCTGCCACTGCTGCACCCACTTCGCTATGTAGGTAGACTGTCATGGGCTTTCTACTCTCAAGAAGAACCCTCTGAACCTTGCCAGAACATACCAGCTCCTGGGGGTTCAGCCATGGAGGAACCATGAAGTCAGACAGAGGAACCATGAAGTCAGTGAGCTGAGGTTTGAGTGCAGGAGACGTCCATGGTCCTGGGAAAGCAAGTCAAGTCCCAGGGGCAACCGCTTGGACACACGGGATACTAGGCTGATGAGCATCCCAAACCATTGCTGGCAGGATCAGGCAGGCACGATAAGAATCATTGTCACCGTGTCTCTCTTGACTTTCTGCAAACACTGAAAGAGGAATATATCCAGTGAGGAGCCCCGCTCGAGACTGAACCAAGAGTAGAATCTGCTGTATCTTGCATTCTCTTTTGTCGCAAAGAGGTCCACTCAGGGAGAACTCCCTCATGGAAGAAGGAGTCAGCCACCTTGGGGTGAAGAGCCCATTCATAGTGAGAGGAGAACTATCTGCTGAGACAGTCCTCAGCTGTGTTCTGCACTCCCAGAAGATGAAGCACCCCTAACACAATGTTGGGAAGCAGGCAGAACTTCCAAAGCCGTATGGCTTCCCTGCAGAGCTCCTTGCCTGTTTATGTAGCACATGCTGGCAGTATTGTCAGTGAGGGCACACACCACCCTGCCCTCTAGGTGAGGAAGAAACATCCCGTGTGCATTTTTGATCGCTCTGAACTCCTTTATGTTTACGTGGAGTGATCTCTGCCATGGACCACACTCATTTAGTACAAAGGGTCCCCATGTGGGCCCCCCAGCCACAGTCTGCAGCGTTGGGTACTAGCTACCTTGAATGCAGTTGTGAATGAAAGTGAATGCTGGACGTGACATGATCTGTCTTGGTTTACCACTCTAGGGCCCTCAGGATACAAGGTGCAAAAGCTGCCACTCTTTCTAGGGAGTACTTGGCTGACACATATGTGGACCTTAGCCATAGCTGGAAAAGTTTCATCCTGAGCCTGGCGAGGGGCATGACATATGCGCAGGTGGCCATGTGGCCCAGAACCAGCAGACACACCCCCATTGTAGTTATGGGTGTGCTGGTGAACTATTGCAGAAGGGTCAGCAAGGCCTTGAACCTCTCTTGAGGGAGTGATGCTTTGGCCTGGGTGGAATCCAGGATAGCACTGATGAACTCTAGAAACTGGGTCACCTCTAACAACTTCTTTTCGTTTGTTAGGAGGTGAAGGTGACAGCACATACCCAGAAGGAGCTCCACGGTACACTGGACCTTGAGCTTTGATGGATCTTTAATGAGCCAATCGTCCAAGTAAGGCTCTACTTGCACCCCTTTGCACCTCAGGTATGCTGCTACCATTGACATGCATTTGGTGAAGACCCTAGGGGGGGAGGTCATAGACAGGCCGAAGGGCAGGAGAGCAAATTGATAGTGATTCATTCTCACTGTTCCAAATTGACAGTGATACATTCCTCAGGAAGCATCTATGACCCTCAAAGATCACGATATAAAAGTATGAGTCCTTGATGTCAAGGGAGACATACCAGTCCCCGGGATCCAGATCAGAAATGATGGAGGCAAGAGAGACCATGTGGAACTTGAGGCGGACCAGGTACTTGTTGAGGCCACACAAATCCAATATAGGTCACAGACCCCCTTTGGCCTTCGGAATCAGGAAATAACGAGAGTAGAAGCCCTTGTTCTTGAAACCCAGCAAAACCCACTGCTCCCACCTGGAGCAACTGGGATAACTCCTGTTCAAGGAAGTGTTCATGAGAAGAGTCCCTGAAGAGGGACAGGGAATGTGGGTAGGAATGTGGTATGGAAGAGAGCTGGAGGGTGCAGCCATGCTGAATGGTGGCTAGGACCCAATGGTCCAATGTAATGTTCCTCCATGCCAGGAGGAAAGGGTGGAGTCTGGAGAAAAACAGGTGGGGAAGATCTTGAGAGTCTGGTATGTCATCCTTGGCACATCCTCAATAGGTGCACTTGGCCTGTGGCTTAGACTAGATTGTTGGCCATATTGAGGATGGTGGCCCAGCTTCCTCCTAGAGGACTTGTGGCGAATGAGGGCTGTATCCTGTCAGGGATAGTGGCCCTTCAAATGAGAGATGTGAGGCTTAAACTTCTTCCTCTCCATCTCAGGGACATACAAGCCCAGGGTCTTTAATGTGGTATGGGAGTCCTAAGCCCATGTAGCATAGTGTGTGTCTGCTCTGCAAACAGGGCACCCATGTCAAAGCGCAGGTCCTGAATGGAGTTCTGTGCCTCTGAAGAAAGGCCCGAAAGGAGGAGCCATGCTGCCTGGAGATGGATGATGCCATGGATCGAGCCACTGAATCTGCCGCATTCGAAGCTGCTTGCAAGGCCACCAAAGCTACCAAAGACTCTTCCTCCACCAGGACCTTAAAATCCCCATGCAACCTGTCTGGAAGGAAGGACTCGAATTTAGCCAACACCCGCCACGTGTTGTCCTCATAGCAGGTGAACAGTGCTTGGTGGTTTGCCACCCTCAGCTGGAAATTGAACGAAGAATAAACAAGTCCAAACATTGGGAGTCTTTATTCATAGGGATAGGGACATGTTGACCTTGGTGCTCTCTGTGGCTAACAGATTCCACCATGAGGAAGTATGAAGGAGGTAGGGAGTACAGGAATTCATGGTCCTCAACAGGGACAAAATATTTCCTCTCCGCCCTCTTTACAACTGGTGAAATAGAGGAGGGGGTTTTGCCACAATGCCCTGGCAATCTTGGTGACCACTTTGTGTAGAGGTAAGGCCACTCTGATGGGGCCTACCTGCCCCAGGACTTCTAATAGTGAATCCGAGGTCTCCTGCACCTCTTCAGCCTGAAGGCCCAAACCATTAGCCACCCTCCTTAAGAGGTCCTGGTGGGCTCTATAGTCTGGGGGCACCACCAGGAGAGAAGCCACTATTGCCTCATCCAGCAAGGAGGAAGAGGAGGCTGGGGATGGTTGGCTTACCTCTTGGGGTTGGGGGGGGGAGTCGGTTGCTCACCATCTCCTAGCTCTGAAGAAACTGGTGCCACAGCCTTGCCTGGTTGCCCACGAGGAGTTGGGGACACCGAGGGAGCTTGCGATGATCTGGCAACCAAGCAGATAAGCTGGGTTGTATTGAGAAACCCCAGGAAGTCTTGGAGCACGACTGAGCCTGCCACTACAGCTACATAATACTCTGTGAAGGCATCAGTGGTCCCGAATGCAATAGTGCGGAGAGCTGCGTGAAAGTCTGCACTGGAGGGATGGAAGCCAAGTCTGAGGCAACACTGCAGGACAGAATGTTTCCCAAAACCCAGGACAAGGACCTTGTAGGGCGACTTTCCCGGTACCGGGACTTCACGACTGACAGACCTCTGTGAGTGGGAGAGCCTTGCCTTCCTTCATGGACTACAGTGCTCAGAAAATCTATCCCTAGTGCTCAGGAACCAGCATCAAAGAGGAGAGCCTTGGTGCCATGAAGGGGATTGGGACTGGCGGGACAAGGCACAATGGCTACAGTAGCTCAGTGCCAGTGAGTATCTTCGGCACAGCGAGTGATGCCTCAAGTATGGAGAAACGTCCCTAGATTGGTGCAGCAAGTAAGGGACTTGCTGTCCCTCCAGTGTTACTGGTGCTGGGGAGGTGCATGCCTCCACAGGTCTGCACACCAATTCCAACAACGTGAGAAACCTCGCATCATGCCCAGGTCTCTCTCTCACAGACCTTTGGGGACCTTGGGGAACTTTCCTCTCAGACTGAGAAGGAAAGCGGGACCTGACTGTGCTTGGTGACTGAGGGCCAAATAGTGGATTCCCTCTATGTTGAGGTGCAGGCAGTGCTGGGGGTGGCAGTACCAGCATGGCCCATATGTCCTGGGTAGCCTAGAAGGCTCTGGCATGGAGGTGAGATAGACCTCCAGCACCGGGGACAGAGACCAAGTAGGGGAGCTCAGTGCTGCCTGAGCCTTCTCTTGTTGCCTATCAGCTGTCTGGTCAACCTTCTTCCCCTTATCTTTACAACGGCACTTGTCTCTGTCTGACTTCTTGTGCTTTTCTGGGGCCGTAGGTGGCAAACAGTGCTGAGCCGCCAATGCCAGTGGTGTGCTGTGTACCAGTGCACCGGTGTTTGGTGCTGAGTCCGACTTCTGATCTTGCGGAGCAAGCATGAACTGCATTTGTAACGCCTGGAGTTGAATACCCCTTTCTTTAATCATTCAGGGATGGAAGGACCTGCAAACATGATACCTGTCCAAAATGTGTCCTTCCCCCAAGCAATGAAGACAGTCAGCATCCAGATTGCTGACTGGCATAGGCCTCTGGCATGCGGTGCAGGCTTTGAAGCCAGGGGAGCAAGGCATGCCCTATCCTCTAAGCAAGTCTCTAAGAAGAATCTAAAAGTCCATAAACCTATTAACAGATAGAAGATAACTATGCAAACATGATACCTGTCCAAAATGTGTCCTTCCCCCAAGCAATGAAGACAGTCAGCATCCAGATTGCTGACTGGCATAGGCCTCTGGCATGCGGTGCAGGCTTTGAAGCCAGGGGAGCAAGGCATGCCCTATCCTCTAAGCAAGTCTCTAAGAAGAATCTAAAAGTCCATAAACCTATTAACAGATAGAAGATAACTATCTACAACACAATGGAAAAGCAGGACTGTTGGCTACCGCCTAAGGATGAAGCACACTATTCCAAGCACCGTCACTGGCATAAGAAGGGATGGAGGAGGGAGGGACTGGAGAGTGTCCTACATAGCATGGCATATGCGTGCCACTCCAGAGGGCGCTGTGACCCCAGTCCTATGGATATTGCTTAGGGAAAAACTTCTGGAACTGATGCAGTACAGGGGGCAGGCACACACCTATGTTGAATGGACATGAGCAAGCACTTGAAGAAGAATTTAGACATCTATTTTATAAAACAAAACTTAGCTGCAGAATGAATCAAAGACCACCAAGTGTTAGCTCTTCACACACAAGTTTTTATTTCCAACTCTTTGCCCTTTCTTCCTTCTATTTACACGCTGGCAATGCTACTCACCTATTTTTCTAAACCAGTGAGCCTCATTGGACCTCATATCCAGTGTCATGCTCCCTTCAGTGAAAGGCTCAGCAAGTCTCTGATGTGCTGCAGAAACATGTCATTTGACAGATAAGAAACTTTCCCTGAGCAAATGTGGAAGACTCAGTGTGCAGCGGCAGTCAAAAAAGCAAACAGAATGTTAGGAGTCATTAAAAAAGGGATAGAGAAAAAAGACAGAGAATATCTTACTGCCTCCATATAAAACCATGGTACACCCACATCTTGAATATTGTGTACAGATGTGGTCACCTTATCTCAAAAAAAGATATATTGGCATTGGAAAAGGTTCAGAAAAGGACAACAAAAATGATTAGGGATTTGGAATGGTGCCATATGAAGAGAGATTAAAAAGACTTGGGACTTTTCAGCTTAGAAAAAAGGAGACTTGGGGGATATGATAGAGGTCTATACAATCATGACTGGTATAGAGAAAGTGAATAAGGAAAAATAATGTACTTGTTCCCATAATATAAGAACTAGGGTCACCAAATGAAATTAATAGGTAGCAGGTTTAAAACAAACAAAAGGAAGTTTTTCGTCATGAGGCGCACAGTCAACCTGTAGAACTCCCTGCAAGAGGATGTTGTGAAGGCCAGGACTTTAACAGCGTTCAGAAAAGAACTAGATAAATTCATGGAGGATCAGTACATCACTGGGTATTAGCCAGGAGGGGCAGGGATGTGTCTCTAGCCTCTGTTTCTAAGAGGCTGGAAATGGATAACAGAAAAGGGATCACTTGATGATTACCTGTTCTACTCACTCCCTCTAGGACAGTGGTCTCCAACCTTTTTACACTGAAGATCACTTTTTAAATCTCAGAACAGGCGAAGATCTACTGCCCCACCCCTTCCTTGAAGCCTCTCTATTCTCCTCCTGTCCACCACTTGCTATCCCCACTTTACTTACACACTCTCATAAACACTTTATTTTTAAATTATGCAATATATAAAATTAAAATCACGTGTTTATAGTTATGAAATAAATGGTCTGTTTTTTATTCATGCTATTTAAATCTAAAATGAAGCATTTATAATTATACATTTTGTGGGGACAGAGTACTGCGGCTGGGATCAGGGGAAAGGGAACAGGGTGCTGGGAGGGCAGAGGACAGGGTTCTGCAGCAGGGGACAGGGTGCCAGTGGGGACAGAGTTTGCGGAGTGGGGACGGAAATGGGGACAGAGTTCGGGGAGTGGGGACAGAGGAGTGGGGACAGGGGGCAGGGTGCCAATGGCAGCAGAGAGTCCCCTGCATCTGCCTCCTCCCAGGATTCCCCGCCCCCAGAGGGAAGCCAGCACATGCCTCCTCTGGGCCGACTCCCTCCCCCCCCCCCCCGCGGGAGCCTGCCCCAGGGACAACCCCCCGCTCCCGTGGCAGAGCCAAACCCCCACAGGCTCCTGCCCCAGGGCCAAACCCCCCTTCCACAGCCCGGCCCGGCCTATCCCCTCTCCTCCTGCAGTGCGGCCAACCCCCGCAGGCACCTGCCCCGGGGACAAACCCCCCCTCCCTCAGCGCA